AGAGAGGGTCTGGCCATGTTTATTGATTTACTCGCTAATTTTTCAGCTCCGGCAAAGACGGCGAGGAGTGCGGTCAATCAAGGACATCCGAGGACATGGCCAAGGAAGAGATGAGAGGCGATCCCATACCGGCAGGCAGGCTGGCAGTCAGGCCATTGTCCTTGATTTATGGTCCGTCATTCATTGCCAGCCACCAAAGTTGACACTTCTGCGTATATGCCGGAGTCTGTCCCGGCATTGTCAGCCAGTCACTCCCCTCGATGCCGTCGTCCTTCGACGTCCCTCTCCCGTCGTGTGCATCCTGACATTTTGACAAATAATTTTATTGATGCTCTGTTCCTCGCCGTCTGTGTTTGGTTTTTAATTGTCGCTCAGCTGCGCTGGACGCACGTGATAATTGCTCATTTTATGACGCATTTATCAAAGTGCCCTTCGAGGTCGCCCTTGTCCTTGGCATTGCCATTTGGCTAGTCCTTTGTTCGCGCTGATTTTCTGCACCACGCTGCGTCTGACAGTTGGACGAGCATACACCTCCGGCCAGGCTGTCGATCCTGTCCTCAATTCCCGTCCATTGCTGGCTCAGATCAGACAGTCACGCGTCATTTATTTGGCCGTGACAGTTCGACTCCTGATTGCCAGTTATCTTTTTGAAGGAAATAGGGATAAGTCGGCTATCGTATCTGTTTCTCTTTGCAACTTGAATTTAGTCTTTGTTGCTGGACAAGGTTCTGTTTTGAGCAGATGAGACTGGAGAGATAGGAAAGTTGAGTTCAAAGTTGTTAAAAGAAAGAGTTTTATTTTTAAAAAATATATATATGACTTTATGATAATGTTAGCAATTTATAAAGTACACATAAAATCAATATTCTGACACCCTTATGTTCCCTTACCTCAACTACATAACTTTTTTGTTCTGTGATTTATTTTCCGGATTAAACCTTTATCAATAACCGCCGTATATCACTGGAATAGCCCGTCCCCACGGCACCACCTCCGTTAGATCGGATGTTGTAGGCAATTAATACTTAATACCCGAAATGGCAATAAAAATTGATGCCATCAATTTATCATTTTAGAATCCTGCACGTGTCAACTTGTAGGTATTTCCACTTTTTTCCGTTCTTCAATGTCCTTTGTTCCAACAGCAGCATTGGAAACGATTAATTTGGTTTATTAATCCACCAAACGATGCCACACAGGGGGTTGCAAATACACACATCCCGCAACCCGCAGTTGGCAAAAAGGATCCCTTTTTTTGGTGCATTACCGTAAAATTTCAATGTCACCATTATTCTTCCTGCTTTTTGGGCAACTATTACGAGATAAATCGTTGTCGATAAATTATCGACAGGCAGCAGGCGGAGCTCGGACTCGGAGCACAGCGGGGCACCTCCCTCTCTATCCCTTTTTATTCAGTTTGGGATATATATATATATATATTTTTTAAGGGATCCGTCGCTGTGTGCCTGCCTGCGCCTGCTTAGTTCACTTTCATATGGTTCTATTGAATTTATTGCAGTTTGTTTTTCAATTTTTTAAATGGCATTTTCGCCCTCCCCCTTGGCTGGCTAGGAAGTGAGTTTATTTATTGCCTTGCTGCATGGCACGTAGACGCATTCAAATCGGAAGTAATTATGGTATAGCACATGCGATTCGAAGGGGGAAAACTGGCTGGTTAATCAGGCGGAAAAAATGTATTTAAAATGGGGAAAAACCGAAAAGGAACTTGCATATGAAAGGCATTAGTATGTACTCCAAGATACTTTAAACTAATTAATTTCTTGGTATTAAAATTCATAAATATTCCCAAACAAAGCAGGCTAAAATATGATTGCCAAGATAGCTTTTTTACGACCTGGCTAAAGGATCTGCAGAAGGCAAAATAAAGCAATTATCGTTTTTCGGCATGGGGGTTTTCCTTCTTCTTCTTGTTCTTCTTCGCCGTGCGTAAGTCAAGTGAAAATCCGCAGACAGTTAAACGACTTTCCCTTACCAATGGCACCCACTTCACGGATATATATACCTTCATATTGCCAGAGATAATGTCAAATTTATTGCATTATTTTTCGCTCCTTTTGCTCGACAGCAGCAGCAACAGTAGTTGTTGTTGTTGTGCATGCGTGCCCCAAACTGCCACTGCCACTGCCACAAGGCAAGAGTAAACCACCCACCCACTAACCAACCAGCCAACCACCCACCACCCACTGTTGTGCATAAATCAAAAGGTAAATGGCTGCATTTTTATGACTGCGCCGCCATCGTCGTCGTTCATCGTCGTTCGCCTTTCGCGCTGCTTCGCTTTTATCACACAAACATTTCTGTGATAATAAATGCCATAAAAATGAAGAAATATGTGGTTAATTTTATGTGCTGCCTCCGTTGTTGTTGTTTCCACCATTTTTCCCATTTTATGCTGTTGTTGTTGCTGTTTTTCTTCTTGTTGTTGTTGTTGTTTTTGTTGCTGCTTCCAGTATACTTCCTTTTTATATTCCTCATATAAATGTTTTCGCGGCTACAAATTTCTCCCACTACATCTGAATATCTCTCGGCGCTGTTCTTTATGACTTCGAAGAGGATATATAGGGTATGCGGAAGCTTGGACTGTATAAGATTGATATGATATATGTTAAGATTTAAAAAGTCATGGAAAAGATCTTAAAAAAATGTAATTGGTTATATAAATGATATATTTTATTTATAGTATTTTTTCGTTTTGTTCTAACCCCTTTAAGGTAAAAAAATCTTTAAAAATATACAAAGCAACTTATTTATACAAAACACCTTAATTTTTTTTATAGTTTTTAGTTAAGCTAAAAACGAAACTACCAGAAGTTATAGTAATCTTTCCTTAACTCTTCCCTTTCTACCTAAAATAAAGTTATCAACGCTGAAATGCTAAAATGCTGCAGGGTGAGCATTAGTCTGAAAGCAAATCGCTTTAGTCACGGTATCAAGGTGTTCCGCACTTCCGCCTGGCAATTTCTTTGGCTACGTGTAATTTATAATATTTTTGTATTATTTATATGACACCCCCCAGGCCACCAGCCCAAGCCACCGTTTGCCTTTGGCCCACACCCGCAATTTGCTAGTAAATAATTCACATACAGGAGCAGCGAATTTATGACGCTGACAAAGTGGCCATAAAAAATAACAAATAATAAAGGAAAATGCTGGGGAAACGTGTGCGTAAAAACTCTCGCTCTTCCTCTAACCCCACTGTACCAAAAATGTACATACTTATTTTTTTTTTTTTTTTTTTTTACTTTTCTCTGCACGCAAAAACCGCAAATTATGTCTAAGCCGGATCGTAAAGTATGGCAGCACGCTCTTAACTAATAAATCCATCAGTTTTGCCGAAGGTCGAGAGCGTTTCCTCTACCTGTTTCGGACACCTAGCAGGTATTTAGTGACCGGACTTCGGGCTTAGGATTTCCCTTCGAAATATGTCTAAATAGTCTAAATCAGGATTAGAACTGTCGCTTCTTGGTTTCGGCTTATCGCCCATATTTACACAGATTTTAATTTACTGGCCCGGGGCTTTGAAGGGGCTTTCTTAAGACTCAGCCCGACGATTAGGTAACATTTCCCAAATGCAGGTTTCAAGGAATACTTTTTAGTACAAGAGTTTTAGGTTAGATCACGGGATTTGCTAGGGATTGGTAAAGTTTATTTAATATCGATTAGGTCACGAGACCAGAGGGTAGATCCTTCGGTTTAGTAAAGGTGATCTAGCTCATTAGTTAAGTAAGATTTCCCTTAAAAAACCCACAGAAGTACAGAAAAATAAACGAAGTTATGCTTCTTAAGCTTAAAGCAGTAATAACAGTGTCGGTCTTCTTTGCATTTACCCCTCTTTTTTTAAAGTAATTACTGTAAAAACAAGCAACAACTTAAATAATTTACAAGCTTCGTGTGAAATTCGAATAAATAAGTGCTAACTGGAGAATTCAATCCAATTGCAGGGGCGATTAAGAATTCAGTGGAGCTAACCAAGCCATTAAACTATTACCAACTTTCGGAGTGCAACATAACCACAACACACACATCGCTTGTTTGATATCTGCAGATTAATTACACACACATACACACACACACACGAAGACCAAGAGGAAAGAGGGAAAAATTGCTTGGAAAAACTTTTCGACGCGACAACAAAACAACGATTTCCACTTAAACAGCAAAACAGGAGCCACACATAAAAAAAGAGGGAAAACCAACCGCAGAAGTTAATCGAAAAACGCTAAACAAAGGCCACAACAACAGCTGTGTGTGGGTAAGAGAGAGTGAGAGGAGGGAAGGCAGAGCGGGAGAGCGACAAACAAATTAATTTTTATATGACATTAAAACGAGCGAAGCGAGGCGATGGAAATGGTTGAAGAGTGTGTTTAAGTGTTGAGTGGTTTGCTTTTCCGAGCAACAAATCTCGGTGCGAAGACAATGGGTCCTCTGCCGCGCCTCAGCCGCGCCGCTGCTGCTGTTGACAGCCCCATCAAGAAAAAGTTCCCCCAGAGAGTGGGAGAGAGAGCGAGAAGCAGAGAGTGAGCGTGACATATGTGCCAAGATAAAATTAATGTGCCCCAAAGTAGTAGCAACAACAACAAAGCCGCTGAGCGGCGCTCTCCCCGCTCAACTGTTGCTCTCTTAACGAGTGTTGCCGTGTTGCAGCCAGAGACCATATGATTATACAGTAGTCTTCTCAGAGAGCGAGAGAGCCAGAGTGAGAGCGGAAAACCTGTCTTGGCTTCCATTGCAAAGCGCATGCGATTGTGATTGGACAAAAAGTACGCCATATTTGAAAATTATACACAATGTATCCCGCTCGCACACAGCAGTCGCTGCTTCTCTTGCGCAGGCAGCAAGCGGGAGTGTGCAGCGCTGCTCACCAGAGAGGGAGAGAGCGCGTAGGAAGAGAGCGACATCGAGAGAGCGAGTAGTAGAGAGAGCTACCTCAGCAAGAGCGAGCGCTTCACTTCGAAGCCAGTTACACTCCTCGCCGCATTCGTTGGATTCAATTCGAATTTTGACTTCGCAGCGTTCAGACGTGTTCGGAGAAACCTGAAAACCATTCGAGTGACAAGAGATATAACCAAAAAAAATTGTAAACCTCTGTCAACTGTGGTCACCGATCGAGAGTGTTTCCGTTTCGAGTGAAAAGTGAAATCAGAGCCAAAACCCAAAACGCTTGGCCAGCAACAAAAAGTGCTACAGAGATAGATTCTCTGCCCAAAACTAAAAGTGTTGAATTCGTCGAATTTCTTTGGATTAACCTACGTTTGCCGACGCATTTCTGTGGATTAACCTCATCGCCACCGAAGCAAAGCTACAAATTCGTAGCCTTGTCTCGCCACTCCATTGGATTACCCTTAAAAAACTTAACACATACTAAGCAACTAAAATGGTTGTCTTGGAAGGTGGCGGCGGCGTTGTTACCATCGGTAACAACCAGTACCTTCAACCGGATTATCTGGCTCCATTGCCAACAACGGTTAGTATTGACTAAGAAATCGAATAATCTGAAAAAATACGATGAGACTAAAGTAATATTTTGAAAAAATAAATAATGAAAATATTCAACAAAATTTAGACAAACTTTAAGTAATACGACTTTTAAATAATGTAAAAAGAAAATCAGAATCTCAAAATCTCTTTAAATTAAATCAAGAACAAGTTAACTTTTTAATAAAACTAAAAACAAAATATTTCAAAACCTCAATTAATCATAAAACTCATCAGTAGAAAAACTCAAATTAAAAAACCATAAAAAAACTAAATCGAAATTTGCCTTATTTTTATTTATTCACCACAGATGGACGCCAAAAAGAGTCCCTTGGCTCTGCTCGCACAGACTTGCTCCCAGATTGGAGCAGATTCATCGGCTGTCAAGCCCCTGCTGGCTATGGACAAGAACAAGACAAAGCCCGGAGCTTGCTCCTCCTCGTCGAACTCATCGAGTTCTTCGAGCAGTGCCGAGATCTCGGCCGCCAAGTCACCGTCCGGCCAGGCCAAGTCACCCAAGTCCAGTACACCAATCAGCTCCACGGCCACCAGCACAAGTCTGGGAAATACCAGTACCGGTGAAATTAAACTGGCCTTCAAGCCCTACGAGACGAATGTGCTGAGCCACCAGAACCAGAACTCCTTCAAGAGCAGCTCCTCCTTGGAGGCAGAGCCCACACGTCCCAGCTCCAAGAACTCATCATCCGCCCAGGAGCGAGTACCGTCGCGCAGCAAGTCCAATGCCACGCCCACAGATGGTGTGAAGACGGAGATATCAGTTCACGATTCATCATCCAGCCGGAAGACAGTCTCCCCGTCGGGATCCTCGCAACGCGGTGCCAGTCCCATTGTGCGATCAGGCATGGAGGTGCTGAACAATGCCAATGGTACCGCCCAGCATCCCAAGGAAATGAGCAGCATGGCAGCAGCGGCGGCGGCAGCAGCAGCGGCATACAAGGCCGCCGGACCCTATGGACTGAACCCCCTGTCCGCCTTGTGCTGTCCGCCCGGCATGGAGCAACATGCTAATCCTGCTTTCCGGCCACCATTTGCCGGAGGATTCTCACATCATCACGCCGCCATGCTGGCGGTGGCCGCCAATGGAGTTTATCCTGGAGGAGCTCCCTGGCGGTGGACCAGCTGGACAGCCAAATCCCTATATCAGTTATCAGCGCATCAAGACACCAGCTGGCGGAGAGGCCATAGTGCCGGTCTGCAAGGATCCCTATTGCCAGGGGTGCCCATACTCGGCGCACACACAACAGATGCTGATGGGAGCCCCCTGTCCCGCCGGCTGCACCCAATGCGAGCACCAGAAATACGGCTTGGCCATGGCCAGTGCCGCAGGATTGCCACCAGCTCATCCGTACTCCCAGGCAGCTGCAGCGGCGGCGGCAAATGCGGCAGCAGCCCGCTCGGCGCCCTACGTCTGCAGTTGGGTGGTGGGCGACGCTTATTGTGGCAAGCGATTCCAGACCTCCGACGAGCTCTTCTCCCACCTGCGCACCCACACGGGCAATCTTTCAGATCCGGCGGCTGCTGCTGCGGCTTTGGCACAGTCTCAGGCTCAATCGCTGCTGGGAACACTATTCCCGCCATCGGCTTTGCGAGCTGGCTATCCGACACCACCACTTAGCCCCATGTCAGCGGCGGCGGCAGCAGCGAGGTATCATCCCTATGCTAAGCCACCACCGGGAGCCTTGGCCGGAGGACCCTCGCCCTTCGGTGCCGCTGGAGCCTTCAATCCTGCCGCCGCGGCTGCGGCAGCTGCTCTGGGGCCCTACTACTCGCCATATGCCATGTACGGCCAGCGCATGGGAGCAGCTCATCAGTGAAATGATCAGCACAAAAGTTAGATACCAAAAAGAAAAGTGGATTAAACTGAAGAAACGAGCAGAGACGAAAGGGTTTTCCCATTTCCAAGCCCTGTTTGAGATAATTTCATAGAAAAAAAAGAAAACAAAAGAAAAACGATTGCAAAGGCTGACACATCTCTGGCTTTTGCGCTATTCTGTGATACTAAACTGTAGTTTAAAGAGCGCTAGTTACACTTAAGTTTCGCAAACAGAAATAATATTCAACCACCTACAACAAAAAAATAGTAGCAGCCGCAAAATAATAGCAGGATCACTTCTTCTACTTTCAACCTAAATGTCTACATTAATCGAATCGAATCGAATGGTAGGGTAAAGGAAGTGCAGCAAACCGGAAGTTCACTCACTCTCATTTGTTCTCAAAGTTCAACCAAAGTTTTTTAAGTCTTAGCCAGAACACATTCTACAACTTCCAATTTTGTTAACGAAGAACCCATTGCTGAGATGTTCAAACATTGTTTTAGTTTAAGTTCGCCCTAAGTTCTATTAACTATTATTACGATTAACTTACAAGCATCTGCAAACAAAAAACCAACCAACAAACAATTCAAATAATGTTCTTTAAGTCATCTTATATGTAAAGTAAGCATAATGAATATTTGTAATACCAACCAATCAGAAGAAGAAAAAAACATAAAAATGACAAACAAAAAAACAAATAAATACTGAAAATAAAAATGAATATTTCATATAACTATGTACTGTGTGTAAATTCTATAAATATTAAATTAGATTTGCTATTTACTCCTTGATGTACGCAAAAGCCACGACACGATCTACACAAGAAGTCACGGAATATCAAACAAAAGTAACTTAAACTAAATGCAAAAACACATTCGTATAAAAACTGAGAAATATACAAGAAAAAACAATTTTTAAAAATATAAATCAACACTTTTTTTCTTTTCCAAGGGGAATTCTTTTTTTACAGCTGGAAAACTTTTTTTTGGGCAATAATTTTTGCCTTGGTTATCTGGCCTAGCATACTCACTTAGGGGTCGTAAATATTTCTGATAATGCCCTCTACGCGGTTTTCAATTATATTTACATAAGTTCGAGTGGCAAATTCCGGAAACCTTATCGTGGACTAATTCGACTTATTCTAAGGTTGTAAAATTGTTAAGTTCTAGGGAAAACTGTTCTATTTATAAAGAAGAATAGTAAATATGCATTTTTCTGACTTATTTCTTTGTCAGCTTTTTGAATGCACTCTTACTTTCTTGCAATGTATTCCAGATTCTTGAAAATCTCCACTCAAATCTTGTTTTTTATTCATCCCAATTAATGCATTTGAAATTCAAATGGTTGGTACTATTTATTTGCATTGCCGATGCATTTCAAGCGCATTCAATTTGTATGCAACGTTTCAGATTCAGCCTAAAAAATCAAATCGAAAAATTTGAAATTCCTGTGGGTGGAGGAGGGATGGAGGAGAGCAAAGCTTGATTGGCCAAGCCTTAATAAAACAGTCGGCGGCAGCGGCCATAAAACACCCAAGCTGAAAATTAAAAATCAATAAAAATCACATTTGTACCAACAATGTATATAGCCAAAATCAATTGCCATTCAATGAGCGACTCGAACATATATAGAAACATATATATATATATATATCTGTAGGAATGTCTGAAAAAGCCAAATGACAAGCATTATTCACAGACAATATATGCCTTAGAAATATAGAAATCTGAGACCCAAACTTAAGCAACAATCAGCTGCAGCCACAATCAAAATCATTGGCGATATTTCGAGTGTATCTCATAAATAAATTAATTGTGACAATATTCAATTGATTTGATTTGAAATTATCGCATTCAGCTGTCAAACGCTCAACGACAGCGTTTTTTCAATTGTTTCAATTTCCAGCTGATTCTTCGAATGTCTGTTTTCATTTTCCCCCTTCAAACCACTCGAATGTTGTTTCTGATTTGATTTTGATTCGTTGCGAACACAGAAATCGCTTGGCCCCAATTCCAATGTGTGGGAATATGTTTTTCCGCTGGGGTGGGGCTTCAAGGGGGTAGACTTATCAATACTCAGCAATCAGTGTTGGCAAATGAAGTGGCGAAGTGCGAGTTGTTGATTTCAGATTGTCCAGGGGATTGATGTTTTGTGAAGCTTTGGGGATATTTTTAACAAAAAAATAAAATTAAAAAAATAATATTCCAGATAAGGAATTAACAAAAAAAAAATATATATAAATTCCATTCAAATCAGTTAAGAATTGTACTGCTTGTGAAAATTGTTATAATATTTAAATGGCGTTCGTATGTTGTTAGAATTATTATTTCATTTTGCATAAAGACATACGATATTCATTAACCTGGATAATGAAGCCAATCTCCTATAAAGCAATCCGATCCGTCACGCCGATTTGCTTTGATAGAATGAGGTAAATCAGGTATTTGAACTTTCCAAATATAAATCAAGTATAATTGTCATTTATTTTCATTATTTATAGTTTATATATGATCAACTCAATGGAATCACAATGAAATTGGTGAGTTTTCCTCAAGATTAAAATGATCAAAAATACAGAATATACATTTATAGTTCAGTGAACTTTTTTATATACTTTTATATATTTTTATTTAAAATGCCAAACCTAACATGTTCTTTGACTTTCACCAATCCTCTACGAAATTAAAATAAATCTTTACACCCATTTGGGGCTTATTATAAAATAACCAATCGCCCAAAAGTAAGTAATCCCCAGTTGGCCATGGAAGGGGAATTCGGATAATATGAAAATCGCTTAAAGCTTGATAGCCCTTAAAGATACAAAACAAAGTTAATTTACCAAAAATAAAAAATTAGACATTCTTACCACATAAGGACAGGTGTGATTCACTGTGGATACATCCTTGATCAAATTCCAGATGATTTTGGCAACTGGCTGGTTTCTTCTTCTCATAAATTCACACGCATCGAAGGTGTAATCAAACAGAAATGGCTTATAGCCACTAGCCTTCTTCAATATCTTCATTTTGAGGGTTATATTATTAGTTGGCCAAAGAACCGTCATATTTATATGCAGGCTTGTCTTGTTTCGGGAATACGCCTTCAATCGGCAATAATGAAAGACGACCCACGACTTGTTGTAAGACTCACAAACTACATTTGTCATTTTCGCGAAAGGGGCCTCCTAATTCACATTGATTTTCAAGTTATGGATATTTAAATAATTACAAGAATATCTTACACTGCATATTAGAAAAGCAACAGTTAGATAGGCTCCCAAAATGATCCACTTCGAAATCATTGCCTTGGCTTCAGAACCTCTATAAAGACTAAATGATAATATTCGTTGCACATTGCCTTTAAAATAGGGCCGTCGGTCGTTTTTGGGTATGGGAAGCGTGACCATATAATAGCTATGCAATTTTTAAAATATTGCAACTGATTATCATTGAAGTGATCTTGATAACTTTTATTATACTTTTATAATTCGACTGCTTTATCTTTCATCTAATAAATACCTGAATTTAATGCCTTATTCAAAAAGAGTAACATTTATTCGCCTTTAGAAAAACTTATATCTTTTGCTCTCCCCTTATTTGGAAACCAACTTTGTATGGTTATTAATAATCTTTTGATTCCGTCGAAAGCAATAGCTCTGGTTGTCGCTGTCGCGCAAAATTCAATTTATTTACATGCATCATATTTCTTTGTTTTGCCATGCTGTCCATGTCGAACAATTTGTTTTGGATGTCAACACTCGGTCGGCGCCGCCAAACGGCAGCAGCAACAAAAACGAAATCAACATCAAAAGCAGCCAGCAGCAGCAGAAAACCAAAACCAAAAAGCCAAACAACAACAAACTCGGCAACTTTTTGTTAAAAATAGTAGAGCTCCGCTTACTGAGCAAGGGGATGAAGGGGAGCCACATGGCTCCAACGTTTTCTCTTTCGTCTTCTCACCAAGAGATCTTGCAATGCTCTCAAGTGCTTAATTCGGCGGGCTCCATTCAACTGGCTCGTTGGTCTAGGGGTATGATTTCCGCTTAGGGTGCGGGAGGTCCCGGGTTCAAATCCCGGACGAGCCCAAGTCAAGTCCCTTTTTTGTTTTTATTTTTTTATGTTTCATTTATTATTATTGCAAAATTTTCCTTCTTTTATAGGCTTCTTTACTGCTTAAAATTTCCATTTTCTTTTTAAATAATAAATAAATATAATATTACGTTGTTATTCTATGGATTTATTGATGCACTTAGGGCCAGCCATATGAGCTATCATAGTTGAGTCATAATTATTAATACTGTGCAATAATCGGGCTATTTAAAGTCATAAATATAAATATATATGGCAATGCTTATGGTGTGGCAAAACTTTTATGGTACCTTGTGACTTTGGGGCTGGCCCCTGTCTAAATTTATGTGCTCGTGGAAATTAAGTCTAATCAGTGGTTGTGATTTTTCAAAGTGACTTTGTGCTTCTTAGCTGCTAAAGAAATTATTAAGGTTTGGTTTTAAAAAAATCAACATTTATATATAAAAACCAATTTAAATAGATTTCTTCATATTCTATAAGAAAAAATAAGATATATTCGTGATTTAATGAATTCAGCTTGGCCTAGTCGACTATTGAAAAATTCGAAAATGATTAAAATCTTTATTTTTCCTTTTTTTTGGCTATTTATTTATTGGCACCTTAGAACTGACAAGTTGCCGGATGGTTATTGCCATAAAGTCATAAAAGCGATTTTATTGGCCCAGACGTATGGAGAGATGTTAAGGATTAAAAGACAAGAAAGGCAAATCTAAAAATTTATGGTCTAAATACAAGAATGGAAAACGGTGGGAATGCCTATGAAAGATCTAAGAAATAAAGAAATAATTGCTGTTTCATTTATCGAATTATTTTTTATTTGAGTCGCTTAATCAGTATATTTGCCAGCATTTCTGCTACATCGGACAATCGTTCATAAATTATATATAAATAGCTGACTGAGATTGCAGCTGGATTATTTGTGGCCCTATACAATGTCGACAGCTGTTCTGTGCTGTGATTTCGCTTGGCAGATTGATATAGTATTGCACTGGCAACTTGACGTTAAAGATTTCAATGATTTATTTCTTGATTTATTAAGTGCTGTTTGAGATTAGCCAGTGGGTTTAGCATTGGCGAACTTTGCCATTCAAAAATGATGATTATACTCTTAAACATTCAATGTTTTTAATATATATTTTTTTTGATTTTTATAGTAAGTTTGGTGTTCAGAACCTTATTTAAGTCATAAAGATATTGTATAAACATGAATCCCTGTTTTATTAAGACTTTATATGTATATCTATTTGTATCAAGGATGCCATATTCAGAGTCATATCGGTATCAGTGTTCTAAAAATACCCAACTTGTTGCCACATTCCATCCCCAAAGAGTTCGGGGACTTGTTCTAATAGGTGGCGAGACCCGCTAGCATGTCGCCCATAAATTAAGCAGCAACAGCAGCTGACTGATGTCAATGTTGTCGTCGCAGCTAATTAACAGTTTTGTTATAAATTACACCGAAAGTCATTACAATTTTTCGTATTCTCAGTTCTCATCTCGAGTTGCTGGTGGCACACCCATTTGGGGCGTCAATCATGCGTAAAGTGACACAGATGTGACATCCAGCGGGGGCCCACTGTTGGTAAGTGACTAGCGGATACATTTGTATCTTGAAGTCGGTGTGCCCACTGTCAACTGTCAACTCCTTAATAATTTTCCGTACTCTTGTTTCGTTTTTCTTTTCTTTATTTTTCTGTGAAATTCACGCCCCCGCTGCGAGTTGGTCCATAGGTTTGTTCCTCCCTCCTCTCGGAATATCCCATGCTGTGTTGTGACATTGTTGCTGCTGTTAGCCTGCTTTGTTTTAATATTTATGGCTTCCTTGTGTCATTTTCATAATGTTGCGTTTGACACTTTCCCTCTGGGCTCCACAAACAAAAATCACACATCCCCTTCACATTCCATATTATCTTACATTATATGGGCGGTTTCTCTCGGGTCGCCCAACTTTTTCGTTTTGCATCTCTCTTCTCTTTCACTCTCCTTTTTGGATTTTGTGTAAAATGTTTTTGAAAATGACATTTGTAGCTGACACGACGACAACTGTCAACGGGCACTCGGTGGGCATTTATTTTGGATTTGTTTTAGTCGGGAAAAACAAGTGGGTGCAGAAGGGATGTTGCTAAGAACTTTGAATGTTGGTTAAGACTTAGGCTTAATGCTTAAAACAGAATTTTAATTCCAAGCAAGCAAGTAAAATAAATATTTCAATGGCTTTCCTACTTTAACTTTTAAAAAAGCCGCAACAAACCCTTTTATTTAAAGCTCGAGAGATACAAAAAGCAAGACCATAAATTACAGCCGGGAAACAGGGAATAAAATATGATATGAGTATGGAAAAATAAAATATACGTCCATTGGTATCTACAAACAAATAAATGTAATGGAAAAAAAAAGAAATATATTTATTAAATCGCGCTGAGAATTTATGGCCCTGCAAGGCCTTCCAACTGAAGCCGCGGCATAAATTCTTCAGCTGTGATTATTATTGCACCCAGCTAGCCACCCAAAACCCGGCTAAAAAGCCAGCGGAAACAACTGGAAAGCGACAAAAAACCGAAATACCTTGAGCCAACTCGATTTTGTTGTGGCCCACACTTCAAAGGCCAACCGCCGCCGAAGCTATGTATTTTTCGGGGGAGCTTGGCGCTAATATATTATTGATAGATATATCAGTGATATATGTGACACTGGTCAGTGGCGGGCTTTGCCTACGTTCGACTGTAAATTACTCGAGGGGCCCAAAGAAATACCGACTGCTGTCGTCCGAAAGGGTTGTTTTGGCTGATTTTGTAAAATCAGGTCACTGGCAGAAAACGTCAGCGGCTTTTGACGTTTCCAGATAAGTTATATATCGGGAAATTGGCGCTGACAAATCCGTTAATGAATTTCTAAGATCTCTGTTTCCTTATACTTAATTATTAATGTCAAGTTGTCAGATTAAAGCTTATGGGGAGCGAAATAGCTTTACTTTAAAGTCGACTAGAAGATACTCTACCATGACCCATAACCCTTTATTAGAATTTAATCTGTGAAACTCTCCACATGCCCTTTCCCCCTCAGAAAGTAAGCTCTACAGTGAAGCCTCTACTGGGCATAAATATTTCAGGCACTGTCAAGATAGCCGATAGGCCAAAGCCGGCTGTTAAGTGTGATATAGTCAGAGCCAGAAGTTGCTAAATATGGGCTTGACCTGCTGCCGGCGTTGCTTGTTGTGGCTGTTCCTGCTGCCCGATGGCCACATTATTAAGCCAATTCAGCGGCAGCAGATAAATAAATAAAATTTGAAACATTGCCGCAACAATAAAAGGCGACAGTACACGATTTATTAAACAGAGCGGCTGCTGGTGCTGCTGCTGCTGGCTTGTCCGGCTCCAAATGAAGAGGCAAAACACAACACCGGCAACAGCAACAGCAAAAGCAAAAGCAACAAAAAGCAAAAGCAACTGAAAAGCAAAAGCAACAGAAAAGCAAAAGCAGCAGCTGCCACCGTGTTGTTGCTCACATTACTCTTTTTGGCGTGGCCCAGGTTGGCTGGCTGGCTGGCAGGCAGACAGACAGACAGAGGGAAACCGACAGCAGCAGATACAAAGATACAGATACATTCGCTATATAGAAAACACACAATACTTGAGGTTGAGGCCAAAATGACTAATGACCACCGATTATCAAGCGATAAAAGGCAAAAGAGACCCACCAGCAACAACAAACATAATTTATTATTGTTTTAAACATTTGTGTTTTGCGCTCAAACGAGATACATTTGTCTCCTCCATGCCGTTTAGAAACCTTTTCGGCTTTTGTTCATTAAGGCGTTGATAAAACAAAAACATATAGCCCAAGAAGGTTCCACTAACAATTCGAATATATATATATATATTTCGAAAAGGCATATGTAAACGTCTTTCATATTTATTCTTCGAGGCGTATCTTTTTAGCATATGTTTTTAGGTAGTGTTTGTAATTAACTGCCCCTTTATATCCCGGCTTTTCTTTATGTTTTTTACTACCTTTTGAGTGTTAAATTTTGTGCTGGCTACCAGAATTAGTGGCGGCAAAGGCAGAAGCTCCGCAGAGCAGACAACAATAATAAACTTGAAGATTCATGAAAGCGGCAAAAGGAAAATAAACAGTCAACGCGACGTAAATTTAAGACTTTCAGTATTTCATTTCTTTTGTTTCTGCGTTCCCCTAACCAGGCTTTTTCAGACTA